TTGTTTCACCAACTTCTACATGCCTTTTTTTTAAAGATCTGTTAAATGTAGATTAGATTTTAAGACAAAAATTCATATCTTCAATATTGCACTTTCGGAATGTTATTTTTTTCGAAAATACACAGTTTGTCCATCCTCTTTTTTACCATCCTTCAGCACACATGAAAAGAAAATTTAAACAAAAAATTTGGAGACGTTTTTAGAAAAAAATATTGAATAATATATTATATTTCACTCAAAATTTCGCGAAAACTATTTCTATTTTAGAAAAATCGTAAATGACCTTGTTTTAAGAATTATCTATAAAAACAGATTTTATATAAAAATCATGATCTTCAATATTTTAGTGTAGGAAGATGCAGAAAAAATCTTTGAACTTTTGCAATTTTCGAAAATTCAGGTAATTGAACACCTAAATGCCACCTAAGCAATGTTTCCATTCACACTGTAAAAGGACAAAGTTTAATGAAAAAATGTGTAGCCTTTGAGAAAATTTGTAAAATATAGGCGAGGCTTCAGGTAAAATATCCCCCAAAATCAAAATGTCCATTTAACTCGCAAAGGCTCTAGTTCGATCAGACTGATCGGGGAATATCAATTTTGGAAAAAAAACAATGTCCGAAGGGTTGAGGGGCTTGCGAAGCGCGAACAGACGAACTGGCAGGCTTTATGCCGTCAATCGATTTTATGGTATCAAGGACCCACAAAACATGGATTCTAACTACACAACGTGTTAGAGGAAGTAATTGACTACATTTACAAACACGATTTTTCGTTAGCAGGGCCCGTTAGCAGAGTTTTCTGTCATAAAATCGCCAAATTCTGGCGCATGATTACAATACATTCTTTCCTTAGATTGCAAAAGGAGAAAGTAAAAATGAATTGCTCATTAGTGTCAAAAAAGAATATATTTCATGAAAAAAATAATTTCACAGACGAGAAGTTTATATAATATTTTCATGACAAACATATTACAAACTTATGTAATAATAAATAATAATAATAATAATAATAATAATAATAATAATAATAATAATAATAATAATATGTACTGTCTTTGAAGATAGAAGCGCCACCACAATACACATTTAGTGCCTCTGGGCACACACAGGCTGTTGCTGCTTTCCGGATCGCCGATATTTGTCCGAAATCTTCGGTGTCAATATCGGGGTAATCACCATCAACTAAATAAATGACACGTTACCGGGATCGAACTCGCCATCTGTCAATCTCTGGTACCCTCAAACTGGAAGGCGTTGTCTTTACGGGCTTTGACATCAGTGTTGGTGAGAAGAGTTTTTTCATCCTCCTTGACCTATCTCATTAACAAAAAAGCTCACCTATAGCAAATCAATTTTTTTTCATATGATTCATTAGGTACATTTTTAGTCTCTCAACTTTTTAACACTTAAATAAATTTTGTATTTCTTAACCTTCTTCCAAAAGCATCACAGGCTAACGCATGTGAGCATTCAAAAAAAGTTCTGAACAATGAAGCAAAAGGAATAAAGATAAATAGCACAATAACTGTCCAAGACAGCGAAATAAAATCCAGATGATAGAGGTGGTAGGTAAAAGTTTAACACATTACATGAGTGTGGTTGCGGATGTGTCAGATAAACACTTGAAAGGAAACGTGTTTGCTACGTAATATATGCGCCCGTAATATATTCACGCCCGGTCTGTCCAGGTCTGTCCATATTACCAGTTTGTTTCCATATCCGCTTCAAATACTTCAAAACAAAATCAATAATTGTCGAAGAATATCGAATTATGAAAGCTGAAATATTCCGTCCAAACGAAACGTTGTATTTAAGAACAAAACATAACCAGGATTTTATCCCAAAATTTTTCATTGTATTCAAATGTTTTTTATTCAATTTAAATTCCATTAATTACGTGGTGCTTGTGTTTCATTTCAACATAATCTTTTAGAATCGGTTGTTTTTTTTATCAGGTCTGACATTCAACCATCTCTTCAACAGTTTATTAGTTTGACGTGAATTCCGTCTAACGAATATTTGGTCTAAATAATGAATATCAGAAAATTCCGTCTACATTATTTTAAGTACATCTCCGTTTTTCATGCATTTAAATATGTCCATTTGCATAATTTTATTTATTTACAGCCTCCAACATTTTTCCTACCTCTATTCATGCATACATTGTAATTTTCATATCTAAAAATGTGATTCACGTATAAATACAATTATTAAAGTATCAATTTCTAGAATTGTTGTGGTTAATTCTTCTCTAGATTTGTTTTGCGAAAGTACTGAAACGCATTCATCCACGCTTGCATTTACCCGGTTCCACTATGTTCCTATTTACCAGATATTCTATAATAGATATTTACGACTTAAGTATAGTAAAATATCTTATTATACAATGAAATTGGAGAATTATCAAACCAGGCCTATTCGCTGAGGGTTTTAACTAAGGTTATAACTAGAGTATTGGAATAAGAAGTTTTACGACACTAATATCGAACTTTTATCTACCTTATAAATAAAACAAATATAGTCCTACTATAAATTTCATTTATATTTGTCTAAACATCGTAGAAACTAGTGGTGCTAGACAATGGCACAGACATTTCAGTATTAGTTTTCTATTTCCTCTGCTCTCGACTAGCTATTCGGTCTTGCCACATACTCTAGCATGCTGCCATCTATCGCCGCCCAAAGTACTTTCTTTTTTATTCTTTTATTTTTTCGGTTTCATTATAGTATAATGGAAATGTTTTTTAAGAACATCAAAAACAGTAAAACCTCGCCGTAAATGGCAATTTTCTTTGAAAAATTTGGAGCTATTATTAAGAAAATGGCGTTTAAGCGCTACTGTAAATGCGAAATTTGAACCTCATTTCACAGAAAATTATTGAGTTTCCAAAAAATTCATATAAAGTCATTTCAAGCACTTCCACTCACAAATGCAACATTGTTCCAATTGAAAATTCAAATTGGAAAATCAAAAAATTCAGAGTCAAAATGGAAACTGCATAATAATGCGTGAGTGATATTTAAAAAAAATACATTTGTGTAATTTTTAAAACACAAAAGGAAACAGAAAAAATAATTCTAGACCGTCTTAAACAGTGCAATTAGTACCATACGATCGAAAAGTTTGAAAAAAAAAATTGGAGTGGTTTTTGATAAAATGGTATTTGAGTGTTTCTGGATATGCGGAATTTTGAGCTAATTTTAGCAGAAAAAGATAATTTTCGAGAATCTTTATCTGACATTATTACATACATTACATAAAGCACATGTATTCATAAACATAATAATGTGAACAAATAGTCGTTATTGCAAATACTAACAACGTGAGAGAAGTTAAACAATTATTTTTTGTAATTTTTGAAAAACACAAAAAAGTAAAGCAATATGACATTTATGTTATCGAAAAGAGTGCATTTAGTACTATCCCTACCAAAAGTTTAAAGAACAAATTTTGAGCGTTTTTTGAGAAAATCTCGTTTTTGTAGTTTTTAATTGCACATATTGCTCGCAATATTGTGTGAAAACTACTAAAATTTTCAAAATATGTACAAGTCCATAATGAAACAAATTCAGAGTTAACAGTGAAAATAGGACCTATGCCACTTTTATAAGTTCTCCACTTTCATATTTTACTCTATTCTTACAATAAATTTAAAGAGAAAATTTAAAGACCTTTTCTAGAAACGTTTGAAAATGTCCAGAGGGTTCACGTAAAATACCCCCTAATTTTGAAGAACATTTTTTCAAAATCACGGCCTCAAGTGGAGCCAGATCGAACAGGGAATATCCATTGTCGAGAAAATCGAACACACAGAAAAAACTAAACTCTGTTTTCTTCCCCAGGGGCAGCTTCGAGCTATGCCCCTCGCCCTACCTGGTATTACATTCACTCCCTACGAGCGGTTGGGAGGTGGCGTCCCGCACCCACTCACCTCTCGTTCTCCAGGCCTACTCTCTATCTGCCGATAGCCCGCTGAGGTGGCCGCAGCCCTTCTCAGCTAGTTCGTATGTCATCGCCTAGGCGCCACTGCGATCCGCAGATCCTTAGCGGAATGGTGGTGAAGGACAGTATAGGGTAGGGAAAGCACGATGTAGCGTTCCGGCGGAGTGCATATTGGCAGGGGAAACGGGAGTACCTATCGTGAACCAGCTTTGTCCACCACAAATTCACTTGGAACCGCTTGGGATCGAACCCGTGCGTGTAGTCTGATCACTATGCAACGGGCCGTCAATATTCGTACGTATAGTGTAAGCGCTAGTGGTACTCACACACTGTCTGGCAGACAGACAGACGGACGGCCTTTTTGCCGTCAATTTTTTTTTTTTTGTATCAAGGACCCACGAAACAGGGATTCTGTTTATATCACGTGATACAGGATTTTTTTCTTAATTTAGCAACTGGATTTTCCATTTTTTGTTATCAGGACCCGGCAATGAATTTTTTTTCTGCCGTGAGTCCACCGTTTTCCACGCCGCATTACATAACTTTCCCTATACTACATGTAGTACTCCGTGTATATGTATGTATACGGGAAAGTAAAAATTATAGACGGATGTTGATACTACTTATTAGGAGGCCGTGAATTATTAGAACAGTTGTGTTACGTTATTACGAAAGTGATTATAGCTGTTAATGTTGGGCCATAGACTCCTGTTTTCTAATAACTTTTATTAACACACCGATCTTAATTTCGTAAATTTTGACTTTAGACAAAGGAATAGGATAAAGTAATTTTTCCGTGTTGTGTGGTTGAACCAAAACAACGTTCAGTGATTGTTTACTTCGCCTCCAAACAATTTGGATAGTGTACGCTACCCCTAATTAAGAAATAATGAAGATACAAACATTCCAACACAGTAGCCTCCGGAGCGAGACAGCTCGAGGAGCTCACACCAAAACCCCGTACGAGCGGCTGCAGAGCGGGCAGGCAGAGCCGGCGGGGG